ACTCAACTTCAGTTTGATATTATCTCAAGCAAACAACAAAAAATAAATTTTCGGAAAAACTACAAAAATGGAGTTACCTGTTTTTGCAAATGAACTGGTCATCTTTTGTTTAACATGTGGTATGGATACTGACTATGAGGGAATTCTTTATCAAATATGTGAGAGTTAAAGCTGTAGAAATCTGTTGGCATTAAATAACCTTTCTTTTTGGATTCTTGCCAGAAAAAAAAAAATGTTGTGACTAAAGAAATCAAAGCTGCTTTTCATCATTTGTGTGAGAGAGAGAGAGAGAGAGAGGGAGCAGAGGGGAGTAATCGGTGTAGCACATGTATGGCACCGAGGCAAAGCGGCAGCAGTTATGGTAGTGAACGGGTGAGGCGCTGTGCATCCTCCGCCGAGCAGCCTCAGCCCCGCACAGACGCTGGAGAGAGAGACAGCCATGGAGAGGTGGAGAGCGGACTGTTTTCTTTGTTATTTTTAAACTCTTGCAAAGCGCAACTATGACACCGCTCGCTGTGACTTGTGTCGGTCCAAACGCCCGATGCACTCGAAAGCAGCCAGAAGATTTCCACCGGTTAAGTATGTGTCACTTTTTTTTTTTCTCCTCTCTCTCTCTCTCTTCCCTGGCAGCCTCTCTCTCTCTCTCTCTCTCTCTGCTCAGAGATTGGGATTGCGGTAGTCGGGGAAGATATACCATCGCTTTTGCTGCTTGTTAGTGTGTTTGGGGAGAATCGGAGTGGGATTCCGTGCGTAACGGTAGGAGGGGAAACGTTTGTCATGTTGACTTTAGCAGCTGTCGGTGGATACGGCGCGGATATTAATAGTGTGACAAAGTTGTGCACTTGTCGGTCGGCTGCTGAAAGGCCCTGGATCACTGTGTTGTGTGTGTTGTGTGTGTGTGTGTGTGTGTGTATGGAGTTTGTTTCTGGCTCCCCTCCCCCACTCGCCGCTGCCTGTTCTGCTCATTCTGGAGAGGCCAAGACATGAATGTGATGAGAGGCTCACTTCAAAGAATACAGTTTCAGGAAATGCAAAAAAATAATAAAAAAAATGGGACGTTTCCCAAACCTCTCTTGATGTCGCTGCACACCTGTGATCCATTCATTGGAAACAGTGATGCTGAGCGAACATCTTGTGCCGACGCATCCTCTCCGCTGCTCAGGTAGTAAGATGCCACTTTTGCACAGATGATTAATTTCCAATCTTTGCGTAAAAATGTTCCTGCACATCTGGCCCCTGATGCGCGCCACACGTGCTGCTCGCACTTCCATGATTTGTGCAGCGAATAAACACACTTGTCCATTTTTCTTTTAAAATAAAAAAAAATATTATTCAGCCTTTGTTCCAATCAGGGAAGATGATTTGTATCTGTATTGGACCAGACAGAGAGTGGGTGTGCCCTAAAGGAAAGGGTGATGGCAACCATTAAAAAATATTTCTAGTGAAATCACAGTCAGGCTAAACCCAGCTGTCAGCCTTTATGATTTTTTTTAAAATTTTTGTGCCAGCATTTTATTATTTTTAATCCCATTAGAGTCAACAAGTGCACAGAGCTATAAATAGTCATTTAGATTGTAAACGCAACATTAAGCGTGTTCACTTTCTTCACCGTGATTCCGATCTGCCTGCAGCTGTCAAGAATTAGTGGCTGCTGCTGCTGCACGGATGTGTGAATTCAAACAGTCAGCTGTGGCTGCACGAGGCCTTAAATTGAATACTGACAGTGTATCTGGGAAGCTTAGTCATAAGCTGTGCGATCCATCCGTAGAGGTGGGGATGGAAGCAGCGGATCCTTTCCTCAGCAAAAAAAAGAAAAAAAAGAGAGAGAGAGAGAATAGAAACTGTGATATGACAGCAAGATGTGTCCTTGATCGAGACATGCAATCCCTGAAATCGTGCGCTCCACTCTCCTGCAGCTAATCCTGCATCTTCACTAAATGAGATAAAATGTGAACGTGGCACAGGGATCAATAAAGTGTAGCACTGCTCAGAGCAGCTAATAGTAAAGAGACTGAGGCTGCTTCATTATTGAGCTCATACTGTAAACCCCGAGTGAATTTATCACTGTGATGACTCTCCAATGCTAATTTGGATGAAACTGGAATAGCTGTGTGAAGTAATGATATGCATATAAATCAGTAGGATATTACTGGACAGTAATGCTACACCACGTTCACGCTGCTGTGTAAAAAACATGCCTTTAGATAATCAAACCACATTAAAAGACTTTAGATTTGCAGATGCTGTGCAGAATGTGTGAAGGTTTGTCCTTGTATTGTGGCTTTTTTGAGGTGTCAACTCACTGATTTGTGGTATTTCTATTGTGTTGATGGAGTAATTTGAATGCAAGCTGGCTGTGCGAGCACTGAGCTGCCAAAGAATGAAGTAAAACATTACTGGAGCTCCGACAGCAGAATTCACCAGAGCATGCTGCATTTAGGGGTAAACCAGAACCCTCCTTTACGCTAGATTTCCAAGTCCTCTCGATTCCCACAGAATCTGTATTAATTTTAATGCTCAGCTAAAAACTGGCCACTTGAGTTTTTCATGAATATCTGATGAAAATGCCAACTGAACTGAATTCTAAAAATTTCCCAAGAGGTCCTCTCTTGCTAAGCAGGCGGAATTCACTCATCGGTGTCGCTGCGTGGAAACATTGTTTGACATTAATGTGAGAATGAGCGTCATGTGTTGGAACAGTAGCTCCCTGTTATGTGATGATTCTCACTTTGTGTTTTTTCCTCATTGCAGGAGCTTTTTTGCAGCGGCATAAGTAGAATTCTGGATCGAATAGTTGTGCAGCGCGGGCTCTTCGGGGACGTGGTATATGGATGCTGGGACTATGAGCATAAGCGACAAAAGGGACTACTTGGCAGACCTGGGAGGCAGCTTCACTGAGGATGCTCCCAGACCTCCTGTCCCTGGGGAGGAAGGGGAGCTGGTGTGCGGCGATGGTCGGCAGCACAGCAACCTCGGCTTCTCCTCGAAAAGCGAGAGCCTCAAATGCGAGGCGTCCGTGGCTACTCCCAGGAGACCCGACCTGGACCTGGGTTACGAGCCGGAGGGCAGCGCCTCCCCGACGCCACCCTACTTAAAGTGGGCCGAATCTCTTCATTCCCTCCTGGATGACCAGGATGGCATCCAGCTGTTCAGGACGTTCCTCAAGCAGGAGGAGTGTGCGGATATGTTGGACTTCTGGTTTGCATGCAGCGGCTTTCGCAAGCTTGAAGCCAATGAGGGTAACGAGGAGAAGAAGGTAAAACTGGCTAAAGCTATCTATAAGAAATACATCCTGGACAACAATGGGATTGTCTCCAGACAGATCAAACCGGCTACCAAGTCCTTCATCAAAGACTGTGTGATGAAGCTCCACATTGATCCTGCGATGTTCGACCAGGCTCAGACTGAGATACAGACTATGATAGAGGAGAACACCTATCCTTTATTCCTTAAGTCTGACTTATATTTGGAATACACGCGGACAGGAGGGGAGAGCCCAAAGCCGTACAGCGATCAGAGCTCCGGTTCCGGGAATGGAAAGGGACTGTCGGGTTATTTACCGACTTTGTACGAGAAAAGGAGATGTGACCCAGAGCCGGAGGAGCAGCCCGAGTGCGACCCCACGCCGAGCAGCCAGCTCGCTCAGAAGCTGGTAATGGAGCCGCAGCAAGTTGCCAAAAGATTCCAGGAGAGTCACCAGTACAGGTAAATCCTCCCAGCAATCCAGAGAGCTTCACTGGAGCTGCACAGGCAAACTGCTGAATTAGAAATAATCCCCCCCACACACACACACATACACATACACCACCACCATGAGCGTTGCCCTAAGTTTGAAAGTGTGAGTGTAGAGACAGCAGGGATGGTGTGTGAAGTGGTTCGAGTGTTTGAAGGTACAGTGGTGAGGAAATGTCAGAAGTTAAAGAGGCCACTTCACATGTGATTTGGAGGTTGAGGCAGCAGTCTGTGTGGAGATGGTGTGTTTTCTCATTAGACGGGGTTTTGCAGTGAAAGAGTTTATCACGGAGGAGCTTTTCTGTGATCATTGACCCTGACACTGTTACTCATTCTCTTTATGTGAAGTCTGCATTTTGGGAAAACCTTTTTTTTGCATAATGAAATATTATCAAAGCTCTCAAGCTTCCTTTATAAAGTTAAACGGTCACAGCCATCTTAATTGTTGTTGCTCTTACTCATTTTTTGGGGATTTTGAAACCACCAAATGCTGCAAATCTTTGACACACAATAGAGTGCACCCTCCTATTGACAATAGTTCTTTACATTATGTCTGCTGCTGCACTATTTAAAATCAAAGACAATATGCTCATTGATGGACTTTTCAACTCAATACAAAATTAGTATTTTACAATTTGTAAATTGAATTAAAACAGCTACATACCTCTGAACAAATGCCTCAGTTTGCAGTATTTTTGGACTTTTTTGATGCTCACAGCATCGGTTGGCAATGTCATTCAAGCAGTGTCCTCTACGCTTTGAAACGCTTCTCATTTTCAGCGTGGGAGGTCAAAGTACATTCATCCAGATGTTATAATCTCTGTAATGCCAAATCTGCTGAAGCCTGCTGCTAATGCTGAAAAACACCAGCTTTTAGTCAGTTTAATGTGCCTGTAAGTGCATAATTAGAGGCCTGTACTAATAATAAATACAGTTAGTTTTTAATTGCACTCCGCTAAATGACCAACATCCATCCCCATCCTCGGCTGATTCTTCTACATAACAGAGTTGTCTAAGCTAATGTTGGGATTTGCGTGGTTTACACATTTGCTGACTTTAACACAACTGATTTTAAATGATACCAGGATGATATCAGCATCATCATCATCAGTATCAGCCATAAAGGTTTTAACATGAAATATCTGCATAAGCCCAAAACGAACAGACACAAGCTGCCAGTTAAGCTTTAAAATGTCAAATAAATACGGAATGTTTTACATGTAAGTTAGAGTGTTTTTCTCCTTTTTTTCCTCCTAGGGAAGGTGTGCATTTAAAATTGTATTTTATGACTGCATCAGCCAGTGGACCTTTACACGAAGCGAAATAATATGTTAATTGCACCACAGAGGAGATTTGACATTCTCAATCAGGTGTATAAAATATGTGCATATTCAGCCAAACTGAGTTGAAAAATATCAGTTTATTGGACATTGCCAAAAAGATTGGTGTGAACAAGCCCTTGCATATAATCTCAGGGATGCAGGGTTTGAAAATAGTCTCGTCTAAAGTGCACTATGACAGTATTTGTAGCTAGTATGAGTGAGTAATGTTGGAAAACATTCTGAAAAACAAAAAGAAACATTTCCTACAAATCGGGACTTCAGAGTTGAATGTATTACTCAGTGCACTGGTTATATGTTTGGGCTGTGAATCCATTTTGTGCTTTGAATCCATCGAATACACAGCAGCCGGCAGAATGACAGAATGAAAAGCAGACTGATAAACTCTGAAAGGCTCAGAGTATTCACAGTCGGATCCGATGCTCGTTTATTGTAAATGCTCGTGATTGCTTTGGAAGTAAAAATCCTGTTGAACAAATGAGAAGCGGCTTAGAAACAGGAACTTTCATCGATGGATGAAATGAAAACATACGTAATGTTTTACTACCACAGCCAAACTACTGTCAGCGCTGATAGGAAGCAGACTTGTAAAGCTTATTATCTAATAAGGTCACAATCCTCAAATGAGGATTAAGGTCAATTGCATTAAAAGCAAAAAAAAAAACATGTTAGATGTCATAATGGAAACATGACAGGGAACAGTTTACGCTGCAAATGAAACACAATCATGTGAGATCCTAATGTGATGGCAGCAATTGTCTAATTTGCTGTAATGTGAGTCCCTCCTACAGAACCACGACACAAGTTTCCCATGTTTGACCTCTCTTGCTGCAGCACCACTGTTATGATGAGGGTCAGGAATTCACATCAGCTGACAGACAGACAATACCTTCCAGATAAAACCCTCTCTGTGACAAAAACACTGAGCACAGTGCCGCACTATGTAGGGGAGACTGAACAAGTCCCGATCACCATTCGGTCGGTTAAAATGCCCCGACTGGACTCAAATCAGGTTTGTCACAGAGCAGGCAGCTGCAGTCTTCTATCTTTTCTTTCCAAGATCTTGCTGTGTTTCATTACAGTCTCCAGCGTGAGCTCTTATGGTTGATATCTGCAGAATGCAAATGCTTGTTTGTACAAGTGAGATTTTTGAAAACATAACCGAAGGCGCTTTTGTTGGAGATTGATGTTTGAAGTCTAAAATATAGGGCAAAAAGAAAAGGAAAAAAAAGTCTGACTCCCACAGACACTCCAGCCATATGCATGTGAAGATCTGCGTGGCAAGCAATAACACACACAAAAAAAAACAGAACTTGTGATTGAAACACATTTATTTTCACATCATTATTTCAGCAATCAAGCGTTTGGCTGTAATTCCAGAAAGACACGCTTCATTTTTAAATAGCCTTTTAGCGTCGCCTGTTGGGGTTTTTTGTGAAGCTAAATTTTACAGCAGTTGTGTCAAAAAAATCTCTTCAGAGATGAGCAACAAAAGGCATTAAACAGTCTTTCAGATCGAGCTTTAAGAAACGAAATAACTTGAAAGAGAATGGCCTCTATGTTCATTAATGTTTGGGCGGGGGGGAAGAGAACGGCTCAGTTTTGTTCTGACTCGAGTTAGACGTGAACTTCAAAGGCGAGACTGCGTCGTCTTTGTAATTTTAATCAAAGTTGCCGTTGCCTTTGAGTAATATTAAGAGCCCTGTAACAGACTACACGCCGGAGCGAAGTGGAGATAAACATGAAACTTTATTATGCGCCGAAGATAAAAAGGCCTGTGTTGGAACCTTATCAATAATAATCTTGTGGTTGGGATTTGACCTGATGCAGCTGCAGGTAGGGTAGCAGGAGAGAAGGGAATTGAAGTTCAGATCTTTCACACGAGCAGGTATTTGTTTAACTGTTGCAAGTTAAATAAATGAAATCCACACAGATGTCCTTGAAGGACCTTGGCTCGGGACCTCATGTGGCATTGCATGATAGACAAAAGGGCTATGGGAAGACTGGAATATTGATAATTATCGATGCTGTCTGGATAATAACGAGACATCTTTGAGACAGATCAGTTCTATAGAGCATGTTTGGCACATCTTGGACTGACAATAGGATGCTTAAGCATGCCATATTCAGAGTCACATTTCCACATGACAGTCATCCATCTGCTGACAGTGTGAAGACTTAGAAACAGCAGGAGCGCTTCTGCTGGAGTAAATCAGTTCAAGTAATGCATATAGTCAAGCCTTTCAGTGTTATTTCCAGCTTGGCATCGGCACAAAATGCTGCAGCTTGTATATTTTTTTTTTAGCAGATAAAAAAAGCAGCAAATGGAGTAATATGGACCTCCTGCCTGGAAATGAGGCTGATGACGAGCAACCGACCTGCTATTCTCATTGCGTGCATTGTTAAATTATGGTTTTTACACGATTAAAAGGCTGTACATAAAGGTTTTTGTGGTTCCAAGAATTGTATTATTAAGATAAGTTGAGCAGCAAACGTGAAATCAAACGACTCCAGACAAAAAAAAAAAAAACAGTCGCAATATGAAACCATTTCTCAAGCGAAGGTCTTGGGATTTTACTGAAATGGTGCTGCTCTTTTACCGTTTATTTGTATGAAAAATTCACGTTTTATTTGCTGTAATTTATTTAAATTGCTGCGCGTATGTGTGAAGAGCGCCACAAAAAAAAAAAAAGAAAAGAAACAACACCTGATCCGTCTTTCATCAAATGACAGAATATTTTCTTCTTGCCTCCGTCGCTTACTTTTCTCATTAATAGAAACGTTGCCACATACAATCAGCGTTAACAGTCACTTTCTGTTGACTGTATTTTTTTATTTTTTTTATTTTTTGGGGGGGGTTGTCTCTTCAACCAACCTGGTTTGGTGCAATTATTCTCTGTTGAATGTGGATGCTAATGAAAATCAGTCGGTCACAAAGGTTTCATTTTGAACTCTGGGTGCTTCTGCATTCCAAACAGGGAGGAAGCTCGGGTAAATGCTTGAGGGAATTCCAATTTGAATAAAAAGTAATGATGCCTAACATCTATAATTCATGTGTACAAAGGCCTTCAAGAAGTGTGCTCAGCAAAGTCAATGACTGAAAATGGAAAAGGTGTCAAATGAAGTCTCCTCGTCTTCCTTCTTTGAGCAATGTGCATCTGGATCAAGCTGACGGTTGCGTGTCACCGTTCAATACTCTGGTATTGAATGTGGCGTGTTGAAGCGCTATCAGTCATGGTGTTGCTAGCCAGTACTCTGGTTTGCCTAATTTATGGCCACAAGAGGCGTCACAGGATGTGAGAAAGCAAAGAAAAAAAAGCCCAAACAGATGAAGCAGTGGAGTATTAGGGGCTGGTTAATGAGGTTGTGTGCACATTTTAGGTATCCAGCTGGCCTATCCAGCTGGCCTGCCTACATGTACAACGTGCTAGAATGGCCAATTTTCAATGTGTGGCCATCAGGAAAAAACCCGTGTTTATTCAGAGTATATCATCTGCTGGTGTTTCACAGCTTTGTCATGTATGATGCTGTTGTGCTGGTTTTAGATTGTGTTGCAAAGATGTAGTTATCTAAGCAGAAATGGAACACAGTTGGCTGTTATTTCTAAAATCGTGCCATTTTCTGTCACGTTATAGTCTGTAAATGATTTTTTTTTTCCCCTCTACATTTCCTGTATTTCTTCCAGGCATGAACCGTGTCGGGAGCCCATCAACCCGTATTATGTCAACACCGGTCACGTTAAGGCTCCTGCCACCAGCGCCAATGATAGTGAGCAGCAGAGTATGTCCAGTGACGCAGACACAATTTCCCTTACGGACAGCAGTGTGTACGTATCTTGTCCTCACGCACACATTTTTTTTTTTTTTTTTCCAGACAGTTGTTATGCCAGGCTGCCACTTTTAGGAACCAATAGCATGTTATTAAGTTCCACCCCGTCGTCATGCCTGTTAAAACAGAGTTAGGGTTTCTACTTCTTGTTTATTGAAGTCTGCATTAAAGCCTATTAAAATTGATTTCTAATGCAAACTCCAAAAAGTGCCCTGCTGGCACACATTAAAGCATGTCTAATAGACGGTATGTAAATAGGAAATCCTCACCTACTGACCTCTTCTGCAAACACAAGAGCCGGTTTGAAACGACTGTCAGTGCAATGAGAGCGATTCTTCATCGTTTTGATTTTCAAAGCAGCCGTCGTCTTCTTTCACGGCTAACTTTTTTTTTGTCCACAAACTCGAGACCAAAGGCAGTGTTTTCTATCATCTGGGATCACTTGAAGCAGTACTTGTGTTTCAGTGCAGTGTTCATGAGTCAGCCATGTGCTATTGAAAGAAGATTTGAAAAATAACGTTTCCTAGGTGCAGAGATGGCACCGGGGGAATTTAAGCCAAAAAAGGCTTCAAAGCTCGCACAACTGGACAAAAATGCATTTGAAGCTGAATGGATTAGAGTCTGTTATCAGCTAATTGGTCCAGAGCTTCCAGCACAGGAGCGTGTGAAACCCAGTATGACCAATACCACACGGAATTACAGACTCGTGCACGTGATAGCATGTAAACTGTAATGTGCCAGACCACTTGTGGTGCAGCAGGGACGCCGTAAGCCTGCGAGGATACCTGTCCTGCTGCACTGATTGATCAAGACTTACTAGGTGTTCGTTTTAGGCAAAAAAAAAAAAAGAAAAAAATAAATGCTGCGAGAAGCTTTCAACTTCAAAGCTGCTTCTGTTGTTTATTCATGAGGATGTATTATGAAAATGTCTTTGTTGTTAATTCCAGAGATGGGGTTCCACCCTACAGATACCGCAAACAGCATCGCCGGGAGATGCACGAAAGTGCCAAAGCAAATGGGCGAGTGCCACTACCTCATATTCCTGTGAGTTATTCATGCGTTATTTCCTCTTCCCTCTGCCTCTACACCTCTCTCTCTTTAACTGTCTGTCTCTGCCTTATTTTTTCCCTGCTCCACCGTTGGTGATGTGCATATTTAAGCTGTGCCGTGTCGCAGGGCCTGTGATGGAGTATAAGAATAGCTGATGGTGAAAGAGAAGGCTGTCTAAATGCAGCTTGATGCTTTCCTAAGCTGTGTGCGCTGAAGCCTAGCAGACATGAATCCTCCCCTGTGACAGCCTGATGCCTCCCTCTGCAGCTTATGCTGTCTCTTGGTAGGAAAGCCCCGGCCCTAATTAGGCCTCGGAGTAAAGAGTCAAATTAAAACTCCACACGTAGCATCCTATTAGATGTGTGAATCGACTATATAGTAAAGCACAAATCCCCGAAGCATAACTCTCACATTTCCCTGCCCCAACAAATTAATCATGACTTCTGTAGCGATAGGAGAAATGACAGGGGCTTGGAAGTATTTTGTTTTTCCAACCTTGTTTTCATAAACTGGTTCCGAACCAACAGCTTTGAGTAGACGTGATTGCAGTGCTCATGTTGGCAGGAAAGGAAATAAATGTCACTTGTGGCCTTATTAAAATGATTATGTGCGTTGTTTAAAATTACAGCGTGTGTGTCATCCTTTCTAGTTCATACAATGATTCAGAGATGTAAAATAAAAAGGCAAATCTAGAATGAATTCTCCTCGACAAACAAAGAAACTACCGTAGCAGAGGTTAATACCATCTCTTCTACGAGTCACTCAGAAGTCATGGAAATATCACCGAGACTCGCATTTAAATTTACAATCCTTTTGGAAGTTCAACCCCTCGACGCTGTCCAGTTGAATGTTTCCTGCTTATGTTTCAAGTCTTGCGTACGAACACTGACAGGATGTGAAGTGGGTAAAACATCCCCATATGGCTTTGACAGTAAATTCACTGCTTAACAGTTTGACATTTCTTCCTCCAGCGCCCAGACCGGATTCCAAAGGATATACACGTGGAGCCGGAAAGGTTCGCTGCAGAGCTGATCAGGAGACTGGAGGCTGTGCTGAGGGAGAGGGAGGCTCAGGAGAAGCTGGAGGAGCGGCTGAAGAGAGTACGACTGGTACGTTGGCTTTACTTTCCCCGAGCACGAGCCCCCGTCTTCTGCTTTTGTTAATTCAATTCAGCATGTGTCAACAAGAAGCGCCTTTCAGCAGCTGGTGTGGACGTCCACACTGAAGAGCGTTGTCGTTTTGGCTGCATGACCTCTCCGGGGTGATTCACAGTGGCCAGTTATACATTCAAGTCATGTGAGGCGCTGGTTGGAGCTGAATATTGCTGCCACCCTGTTGGCTCCTGGTGACACCAGCTGAATAATATTAGTAGCCAAGGGGATAAAGGGAAATTGAAGTATGAATTCTTAATGTAGAATAAGTTTGCAAACCGGCAGTTATTTTTGATATTGATTTAATCGACTATTTTGTCAATAACGTGTCAGAAAATGGTGAAAAACGCAGCACAAGAGCCTAAAAGTGTCTGGTTTACTATCATATGTAGCTGCATCAGATGTTTGCATCTGAGAAACAAGAACCAGAGAGCGCTTGTGACTAAAGCATCTATCAGTTAATTAAGCTTCTATTGATCGAATAGGACATTACATAGATTGAAATCCTGATATTGTTACTCCTTGTTTTGTCACATAAGTTGAAGACAGTTTCTGAACCCCGAAGCAGTTCCTGAGTCATTTCTGCTCCTGTCATATTTTTCCTCACTTATTTTCGCTGCAACATAAAGCATAAAGCCGGCATAAAGTCCTGCACTCCTATAGAAACAGCACAACCACGGCTAGAGGCGGAGAGAACTCAGACATGTATTTTGTGCAGTATAACAAAGTTGGAATGCCATAAAGCCAAAAAAAAAAATGGAAAAGACAAAAGTTTAATTTCTTTGATTCTTCATTTTACAAAACAAACAAAACAAAAATGAAATCAGCACATATAACATTTTCCCAACTCCCACAGGTGTTACCAATACTACAAACAAATTCAATTCAATTCAATTTTATTTGTATAGCGCATATTTACAACAACAAGTCATCTCATAGCGCTTCACAAAGGCAGAGACACCCAACAATCCAAAACATTTGGATTCCCTATAAGCTTCAGCAGTCCGCATCAGTGGGAAGGAACCGAAAACCCCCGCAGGGGAAAAAAAACCTCCGACAGAACCAGGCTCAGGGAGGGACGGCCATCTGCCTCGACCGGTTGGGTGGATGTAGGATCGATGGTGGTTGTACTTATTATACTGCAGATATTTTACTACTTTACTACTGCTACCTCCCTGCTCGATGTAAACACAGCCTGCAGTTCAAACGGATCTTTGCCACATTCTTCCTGTTGGTCGCAAGAATTCCTTCTTTAATGCACGGAGGGGCATAAAAAATCTGTTTTTTACAGAATGCGGTTATTGCAAATGGTTTACTTATTACAAAAATTTAAATGAGACATATAAATTAAAGGAATTTTGATGAAATATCACATTTTTAGATTAGGTTTGATTTTTTTCCCACTGAAACTGAAAGTCACAAATAGTTACGACTGTGAAGCGCTGTTGGAAAGTTGAAAATCTGACAGTTTCTTTCTCTGATAGTTGGTTTAATTTTGGCGAGTTGAAACAACAACATGCGTTTAAAGCCGTCGGTGTTTTCTTTGGTTCAGAGGGCTAAGCTGCTCAGAGTAAAGAGGTGCTTATTGAGATCTCATTCTAAGCCCTCATTGTGCAAATGCTATTATCAAATGGCTCTTCATTAACTTTAATAACTTTGATTTACTTTAATAAAAGAATGATTAAATAAAGTGTGACCATGGATAGGGTATTGAAAAGCAGACTGTTGGTTGAAGAGTATCAGTAGGCGCCACCAAAGCTTGTTTCTGAGCCAGGCAGCGAGATGTGTGCCTGGCCGGTGGGCTTCAAGTTTTCAGTAACAAAGGAGACTTAAATCCGTCTGGCCTTAATGAAATTAATGAGGCCAGCCATTTGAATGGGGAATAAAAAGACAATATGAATCATTTGGAGAATTCTGTCCTTGGCCTGTCAAGCAATCTGGCTTTGTCGATGAATCAGATGGAGCACCTGCACACTCGGCCACTTGTAAGCCTGGAACAGTGAGCCGCCTGTTTGATGTCACTTGAACGGTGATAAAATGGTCGCTGTTACCACAAATGAAATCTCTCTCAGTACACGGAGCCAAGTATTAAGTCTCAAGGCAGACAATTTATGTGGCTGGCCCCCGAAAGGAGAGAAGCTGCCATCACACGGCTCAAGGTTTGCTTTATGAAACCTAGAGGCAAGGATGAAATGACTGCCTTCATCAAGTAAATACTCTGGGACTCTCGAAAAGGAAACGTGAACTTAGCTTTTAGCTTTTTTAATGATAATATCAGAGGTATTAAAAGTGATGTGGTTATAAATGTGTGAAGGAGTAGCATACAATCTGATTGAACACATCTACCATCTGGCTGAAAATGGATGGATGTCAATGGATGTTGCTGTGAGGAAAAAAAGGTCTTCAATCTGATTCATGTGAATGTGAGTAGCTTATCACACCACACCTCTTGTTATGCAGCCTACTGAGGAGGAAGTTGTGTCTTCGTTTAATGTAATTTTCAGAAAAAGTAGGCTGCATGGGCACATAAGAGCAGCAGAAGTAAACTCAGGTGGTCTTAGCTTGTGTGCATCAGATTTTTATTCGGTGTGAACAAGATAACAGAACATGCAACGGCGTACACGATACTCCTCATAAGGAGAGGCCAAAGCATTGGCATCAGTACATTTCCATCCACCACCTAAGCCAACTTGCAGAAAGTCAAATATCTGCTCCCGTTTGCCAAGATTTTTTTTATTTTTTTTTTTGTATTTTCAATTGGAAAAAGAGGGAGCAAGTGGAAAGTGCGCTCAAAGGAAAGGTGTCATGCCTCCATGTGGAACTTGTGGGCTCGGCTAGCACGGATATCTGGATCGGGCGCAGAGATGCGAAGATACATCAATTATTCAAAAACATGCCAAAAAAAAATATTTGGCTGCATATAGAAATCTTTTGCAGTATGACTGAATCTAAGAAAGCGGTGGGCACGGGGAAGTTAAGCTTCTGTAGAAAGAGGCTGAGAGTCGCTTTGATACAGTTACAGTTAATGGACGGTGAGTACAGGGCAGTAGCAAAAACTTGGACGGGTCTGGCATATTCACAAGTGAAGGTTTATTTAATTATTAACATAACTGACATAAAAAAAAAAGAAGAAAAGTTTGGGCTGGCTAAAAAATGAAAGTGAAGCCAATACCTACTGTTGTCCTTCCACTATAGATCTTTGTTGTCTCCTGTGCCTTCTCTCTCTGCCAAAACTTTACACAGGATGCAGTAAAGATATAAAAGCTCTGCCGTATGGTGCTCCAGCTGCATTAAAAAACACATTTTCTTGTGGCTCAAACCTTCTTGGGAAATAAAATTGAATGTAGTCGCCGCTTGAAAGAAATGTGGCAGTAAATATTCAGCTTCAAAAAAAATTATTAATTTTAATGATCATTTTTTTTGGGGGGCTTTTTGCAGCAACGGGGGTCTGAGGTAAAGATTCCAGCTCCACAGTTACTAGCCATGACTGCCGTGTTTTCTTTCATCACTGCACGTCCTCTGCTCCCTCCGGTGCCTGCTTATCAGAACCGATTATGAATGCCTGCAGCACCACACCCAGCCGTGCCGTCCCCCCCCCCCAACCCTCCCCGGAGCAGATTCTGTCAGAGCGCGGTTTGGTCCCAGTCACTCAGAGCCGATGCCGTATCGGTTGCACTTGTCACGACATGAAACAATAGAAACGTGCTACGTGCATACTGATACTGTTGTATTCGTGGTTTGCCTCCAAACCTCTGCAGTGAGAATAAGACTGACATTAGCATACAGGGAGATTCTGCCATCTGCAGGTTGAATCGAGTACAACACGTGAAATCCAATAGAAACACCTCTGTTGTGTTGTTAGAAAATTAGCTGTTTAATAAATCATTTTTTGCTCCTGAGTTTTATTTCACTAACTGTGTGTGTTTGTTTTTGTACTGCAGGAAGAGGAAGGAGATGAAGTCATCACGGCCACGGCGACATCATTATCCAGTCACAGGTTCCCCCCTGGTGCTTACTCGCAGAACTACAACTCCCGCTATGCCGACATCACCTACAGCGGTCCTTTCCTCAGAGATGCTCACGAGGAAAACCCCGAGAGCATCTTGGACGACCACGTCCAGCGGGTCATGAAGACTCCAGGCTGCCAGTCACCAGGGACCGGCCGCCATTCTCCCAAGTCGCGCTCGCCAGACGGTTTCCCGGGGGTCAAAGGGACGGGACTGCCAGGCCAGGGGAAGCATCCATCCAGGCACGGGTTAAAGGGAGAATCCGGCCACCTGTACCACCACAAACACGTGCACCACGTCCACCATGCAGGCGTCGGGAAGCCCAAAGAGCAGGTGGAGGCTGAGGCGGCCACGCGCGTGCACGGCAGCCTTCCCTGGAGCGCCGAGTCGAGTCATTACGGATCGAAGTCTCGCAGCTACGCAGATGGAATGGGATCCAACCCCACGGAACACACAGGGTATAGGTGAGCATCAATTCTTGTCATTCACACGGCTGAAGTACCTTCCTGTTCTTCTGCTCACTCGTTTTCTTCCATTAAACAGCAGCAAAAGTGGCTCACAGTGTAAAAGAGCTTTCAAGAAAGGTGAGGATGTGCGGCCTTACGACATGCCGGGGCCCACGGAGGAGATGGAGAAGAATCAGAAGATTCTTTTGTGGCTGATGGAAGGACAGAAAGAAATGGTTCAACACAAAAGGAGTCCGTATGGGTCAGTAGTCACGGTTTATTTAACTCTCTGAATCCCACAATCCACGAGACGGCCTCCAAGGCATGTAACCTTTAAAGAATCGACAAAACTACACCATTTATCTGAGAAAGAAAGTATGTAAACAGGGAGATTTTAAACTTTCCCACTGTCCTTGAATTAATTGTGTTTTGGTTTCATTAACCAAATCTTAAGATTAAAATCCAGATATTTCAATAAATCACTATTCATGTGTCATTTGAAAGTTTGCCAGAAGCCAAAACATTTGTGCTTATTTGGTTCTGTAAAAACAAAAAAATTCTGCTCATCTTAGAGTAAACAAGAAGCCATAACTGACACGGCTGTGACCAAAAGTCTCTTAACAAAAATTCAGTGACTTTTTTTTTCCTGAACTCGACTAAACTGCAAGCTGTGGTTATACATACCATAGAGGAGATGCAAATGAAAACAAACCAATAAAAAAAGAAAAGAAGTCATAAAGCATCTGTAGTATGTAGAGCCACCATTTTTTCAGTGTTGGTAACTCCTTACATTTGGGGGCGGGGGGACTCCAAGATTTTTTGTTTTTTTTTTGTAAAATAATTCATCAAAAAATTCTAACACAAAAACTTCAACTCGTTTATTTTTAAATTTAAAAAAAAAAAGTGTTGTAACTTTGTTAAACTGCACAAAAGACGTCTTTGAGCTCTCTGTGCTTCCATTCATGGTTGTGCTGTTTCCATTGAGGTGCAGGACTTTAAATTGCAGTCACAATTGAGAACACAGTGACTAAAAAAACGTTCAGAAACTGTTGGGGTTCAGAAGATTAATACGTGGGCAAGCATTAAAAAAAATAAAAATTCACAGTTAAAAATATAGTAAGCAGCTGGGATGTTCTCTTGCCACGACTGTTACGTTGTTGGTGTAAAATACTGATTGTTGCCTTGAAGAAAAGCTTTCCTCTTCCATAACAGTTTGTTTTTTTTCCTCCAAAAGCCAAAGCTAAAATCAGAAAGTCCTCATGCGTGTGGTTCTCTTCACTTTGTTGATGTTCTTTACATTTCAGGAGCATCACAGGGTCCAAGAGGACAACAGGCCACGAAGGATCCCGCCTCAGCTCGGCAGACCGATCTGGGTCTATCCATCCGTGTGTCAGCACCCAACTACGGAACAACGTGCAGCCTTCTCACCCGTTCATCCAGGATCCCACGATGCCCCCCAACCCGGCCCCGAGCCCCCTCATTCAGCTGGAAGAGGTCTGCCGGCGGCTTGAGGAGGAGAAGATTAAGTCTGGAACTTTACAGCCCAAGCAACGGTAAGAAGCACTCATTTACAAATATCTATCCAGTTAATCAGTGCAATTTTTCAGCAAAATGTATTCAACAAGCCTCAAGAGACGAAGCCAGATGTTTGTTTTTTTTTTATTGCTATGTATTCCAGCCTATGTGCCTTTTTGGGTCAGTATGTGTCTAACTACTGGGGTTGTTCGGTTCCCTCAGGTATGTGATGGAGGTGATCCAGAGGGGTCGCACCGCCGTCAGGCCGGCGCTGTTCCCTCCGCTCAGTGTGGTGCCCGCCGTCTCAGACAGCGAGCTCTCCGAACCCGAGTACGTCCACCGTGACCCGCCACTAACTTTTTCCACTGTCTCCAAATCCCCCATAGTTCACAGTAACCCTCCTCACCTCTCATGTAGCGTCCTGCATGCCATCACTGAGTTTGTTTTTTATTTAGTTTCTTATCTAGTTTTTCTTGTAGTGTTCATGACCGATTTAGTCATCATCTGGAGACTTCTAAGAGGATGTACTATGAAGCAAGATGAATGAGCTGGTGAGGTGTTTTTAGCCT